AAGCACGGTAGGAGGGTGATAAGGCATTGTAGGAAAGATGGTGTGAAATGCAGTGGGCTATACACTTTCTCTTCCCCTTACGAAGTGCAATGGGAAGATCAAGGTCAGTGGGATCAGCTGCAACAATGGTGTTAGGGACAGAAACATTATCATCAGAAAACATAATAGGCTCAAGAGGAATACCTGGAGCTGTATCTGCTGAATTTGGAGTTTCAGAAGGACTGACAGAGAGTGGTGGGTCGAGGATGTGTGGAGTCAACCATCATCTGCCGGCGGCGCTGATATTGCTGTGAGGCTGCCCGTAGTGGCTCAGGTAATGAAACTAGAGGTGCTGGCTGAACTGATGGTGCAGGTGGTGGCTAAACTGATGGTGCAGGTGCTAGCTGAACCGATGGAGGCACCACAGAAACAGGAAGAGGAACAAATTGTGAGTTCTCCCCAAAACTCTCCCCCTGAGGACCACTTGAGAAGAAGAATGTGGATTCAAAAAAGGTAACATCCATAGTGACAAATCTGCTCCTCGACATTGGGTCATAACAGCAAAACCCCTTTTGGTTCTGAGTATACCCAAGAAAAACACATTTCTTGGCCTTAGGATCGAATTTCTTGCGATGAGGGCCAAGAATGTGAACAAAAGAAACACAACTAAAAACCCTCAGAGGTATATGAAATATCTCTCCATCTGGAAAAAGGAGGCAAAATGGCACCTTAAACCCCAAAGTCCGTGAAGGAACACGATTAATCACGTGTACGGCTGTAAGGACTGCATCTCCTCAGAACTGCACAGGGACTGAAGCACGCACCATAAGACTCCTTGCCACCTCCACAATGTGTCTATTTTTCCTCTCAGCAACTCCATTCTGTTGCGGTGTATATGCACAACTGTTATGATGAACTACACCATATTCTAAGAGATATGTGGTTAGATCCTTCTCAAAGTACTCTCTGGCATTATTTGATCTAAAAACCTTAGTTCCCACTCCAAATTGTGTGAGAACCATCTGATGGAATTGTCATACTAAGTTAGGAACCTCATTACGTGATCTCATCAAATATATCCAAGAATGTCGTGTATAATCATCCATAAACAAGAGAAAGTAACAGAATCCTCCCATGGAAGGGATTTGATATGGCCCTCATACATCAATGTGAACAATATTAAAAGCAAAAGTACTTCTTTTATTACTTGGTTTAAAAGACTGCCTACAATGCTTTCCTAACTAACAACTCTCACACTCCAAAGTAGATAATTGA